AATCATATCCTTGGGGGCAGGTCTGGAAACCTATACGGATCCACTTCTTGCTCAGTGGAATTATAGCTCTGCACTTTTCACTAGACATACATTTTACCACTTCTTGTTCAGTGGTATGATGAGCTGCACACTTTCATTATACATATATTATTATTACGTGAGTATTTCTTTTTTCTAAAAAAAAAGGATGATCGGTTCCAGGTGTATGTCTTCGGACCGTGAGTACCTTTATTTATAATATTTTATAAAATTATATGATCAGTTCCGGGTGTATGTCTTCAGACCGTGAGTACCTTTATTTAAAATGTTTATAAGATTATATCCTACTGAGCCTTCCGCTCACTTTTATTATGTTTTCAATGTTTTAAACCCCTCCTCCAGAGTTAACGGTTTAGATTTACAACGTGACAAGTGGATGTCAATGGATTGAAGGTGTGAAATTTGAAGCGGTACGTTTGTTTCGAATTTACAGTTTTAAATTCTGAGTTGTACTATTTTCATTGGACTTTATGGACTGTTTTAAATATTATTTGTGAAAGAAAATCTTCGGAGCAAACTATATTGATATTTATGTATTTATTTTTGTGATTTTGTTAAACAGTCCAGTTTAATTAAGTTAAATTTTAAATTAAACCTCAATAATCACGGCCCTATCCTTAGGGTCGTGACAACTCGCTCTAAATTCTGACCGCAAGTTCCAACCGGTACGTTTCTACTTGTTCTTCAGCGAGTTCTTCAAACGGGATTTTGCGGACAATGTATTCGATAAATTTGTATGTGAAAAGTCCGCAGTCACCTGTTCTGAGGTTGTGGACCAACCACTTAGGATGAACGATTGGCCACGCAATGTTAAGTTTATCGCCCAAATGATTAAATAAATATGTGTACTTCAAGAACTTGGGCATCATGACAGAGATTGGCTCCACGTATTTTTGCATCTGTTGATCTCTGTACATCCTAACATCTGAGTCATACACCTTTATGTTGATTTCAGATAAATCAACATAAAGCGCAACCCAATGCTTATGCTCAATGTTAAGAGGCATAGTGAAGCCTTGCGCGCCATCCCATTTCTTTCCAATTATGCACTTTTTTTCACAGACTTATTCATCCCGATCGTTGTCAAATGTATACGCTGTCAATTTTGATTTGTTGGCGATGAATCGCCCTTTCAATTTCTGGCAAAATACATCATCTAGGATGATAATATCGTTAATAAACTCTCATTCGTTGGCTCGTGACCTTCTCATAGATAAAAGACCTCATGTCTCGTCAATTTGCTGTAAGTCATAAAAAATAAATTCAGTATAATGATAATGGTATAAAAAATAAGACTATAAATTTAAAAAATATGATGTGATTACTTACTTCATTGAACAACCATTCACCTGGCTTCAAGATGATCCGGAAGAAGTCCTTCTTCCAATCACCAAAATCGCACTCTATCAGCTCAGAGTCTGTACTAATATCAGTGAACCATTTTTTGAAGGCCTCGATAACATCTTTATAGGTCCACATATTTGTCATCACCTTACGTAGGGGATCTGTGTAAGGCGACTCAAAATACTTGCTGGGCCTTTTAAGTCACTTTTCATTCTTGGCTTCAGACTCTAGCTCTGACTGAACCTGTGGTTCAAGTTGTTCCTCAGGCTCTGGCTGAACCTGTGGCTCAAGTTGTTCCTCAGGTGTAGCTGTGGCTGTGGCTGTCCTCTGATAGAGTATGTCAAGTATGTAATCAATAGACATACCATCATGCAGACGAGGTTGTTGTTGTTGGGAAAGTTACTGTTGTTGTTGGGAAAGTTGTTGTTGTTGTTGGGAAAGTTGTTGGACACGAGAATATTGTTTGGGAGGCTTCGGTTGCTGGACACAAACCATTCTTAGACCAGAGTCCAAAAACGATACAAGATGGTTAATTTCTCCATCTTCTTGGTCGGTATAAGGCAGATACAACCTCATGCACATACTACTCATTTCCTTCTCAGTGGGATAAAGAATTGGTATGACCATTCCCTATATATTAAAAAAACATAAATTCAATGATTATTTAGGTGGAAACATATTGTAAAAAAAACAAATATGCCTACTTTGTAAAAAAATACCTATAAACACATTGTATTCAAACCCTTACCTCGCCACTTTGCATGAGGTCATCAATCTGTCCAACCTCAACCAATGAAACCTGGCGTGCCTCCCATTTGAGGATTATGGGAAGACGTCTATCAACCATCTTTGCAAACGTGACGTCGATGGTTGGAAAAGTTTCTCCTCTGATAGAGTATGTCAAGTATGTAATCAATAGACATACCATCATGCGGAGAGGTTGTTGTTGTTGGGAAAGTTGCTGTTGTTGTTGGGAAAGTTGTTGTTGTTGTTGGGGAAGTTGTTGGACACGAGAATATTGTTTGGGAGGCTTCGGTTGCTGGACACAAACCATTCTTAGACCAGAGTCCAAAAACGATACAAGATGGTTAATTTCTCCATCTTCTTGGTCGGTATAAGGCAGATACAACCTCATGCACATACTACTCATTTCCTTCTCAGTGGGATAAAGAATTGGTATGACCATTCCCTATATATTAAAAAAACATAAATTCAATGATTATTTAGGTGGAAACATATTGTAAAAAAAACAAATATGCCTACTTTGTAAAAAAATACCTATAAACACATTGTATTCAAACCCTTACCTCGCCACTTTGCATGAGGTCATCTATCTGTCCAACCTCAACCAATGAAACCTGGCGTGCCTCCCATTTGAGGATTATGGGAAGACGTCCATCAACCATCTTTGCAAACGTGACGTCGATGGTTGGAAAAGTTTTGAATGTCCAAACCTGCGTTAAATAAATTTTTTTAAGTCTAGTAAAACAAAAAATAATGTATTATTTACTATAAGGCCATGATTAAAAATTATGCATATAATTGTACGACATACCTAGAAGGCCCAAGGAAACCTGCATATTGAGTAGGTTTTCTTGATGCTCTTATTACAACCTTTCCGAACCAATTTCTGGAATTTCTCTTTCAAGTTCTTCCTCAAAGACCGCAGAGTGCATTCAAAAGACATCCTGCCCCATGGATAGTTGTTATAGAAATCTAAATCGTTGACGTATGACAGCCAATCCAGTGGGACGGTCTTCTTCTCGTCCCCAGATAGTAATACTTGTGCTAACAAGTAAATGATAACGATCTTTGCTTTATCGCTACCTTTTATCTTGTTCTCTGTGAGCAATTTCTTTAGATCGGCAGTAAGTACTACTTGGGCCTTAAAATGCTCCAACAATCTTATGTTCTTCGAAGCTTTCAATACCACGTCCGGCTCTGGGATTTTCCCGCAGTTCAATCCAGTGATTAAAGCAAATTCTCTCATTCTGAACCGAGTTGGCTTTCCATTAACCATGAACCACAACTCATGTTTCTTTTCTGTTTCTATCTGCCATAGAAGCAGATAGTGTGTTAACACTCCAAAATAGATCATATTTTCAGACATCGAAATCAAATGTCCCAAGGCAGATTCTTTGAAAATTGGCATTTCCGTTTTAGGGTCTAAATTTTGCCTTATTACCTTCAGGGCCTCAATATTTGACTTCATAGTGACTTTCACTGGGAAGTACTCATGCATAGGATCCATGATCATCCTTAGCTGTCCAATCCCAAGAAGTCATTCTGAAAAAAAAGAAAAAACACATCGGTCAGAACCGACCAAAATGACAAAACCGACCAGAATAGACCAAGAACCGATATTGAACCGACTATAACCAACCGAACCGACCTAGAATCGATCCAGAACTAGCAGTCCACGACCTAGAACCGACCAAACAACTTAGAACAGACCAAACCGAATAGAACCGACAGAGCCAACCAAATCTGACCAAACCCGACCGAACTGACCAAAACGATAGAACTGACCCAGAACCGACTGAACCAACCAAAACCCGACCGAACCGACCAAGACCCAACCGAACTGACCCGAACCGACCTTCCCAACTAGAACCGACTAAGAACCGACTAAGAACCGACACAAAACCGACCTACAACCGACCATGAACCAACCTAGAACGAGCATGACTGAACCGACTTAGAACCGACCAAAACTGGCCTAGAACCGACCGTGACACACACTAGAGTAATGTATATTCTTTGTTTTTTCTTATATTAAGTTTTGTTCTTACAAAAATGTAATTAAAAAAAAATAAAACAAGAATAAAACCTTAATGTTAATTCAGAGAATAAAATCTTAGTGTTACCTGAAGGAGAGCAGATTCTGTTGCCTCGTCGACTTGAGTTCTGGAAATAACTGTCTTAGTTGAGGAAGAAGAGCTGTTTTGTGATGCCATTTCAGTCGTGGTCTGGAGGCGTGGGTGTTCTGGTCGGGTCGGCGTTCGGAGGGTCGGTGGAAATGGTCGGTCGGCGTTGGGGTTGGTCGGTCGGCGTTCGAGAGGGTCGGGTCGGAGTTCTGAAGGGTCGGTCGGCGTTCGAGAGGGTCGGGTCGGAGTTCTGAAGGGTCGGTTGGCGTTCAGGATGGTCGGTCGGTGTTCGTGAGGATCGGTCGGCGTTTGGGGAAGGTCGGTCGGCGTTGGGGTGGAAATGGTCGGTTGACGTTGGGGTTGGTCGGTCGGCGTTCGAGAGGGTCGGGTCGGAGTTCTGAAGGGTCGGTCGGCGTTCGAGAGGGTCGGGTCGGAGTTCTGGAGGGTCGGTTGGCGTTCGGGATGGTCGGTCGGTGTTCGTGAGGATCGGTCGGAGTTTAGGGTAGGTCGGTCGGTGAGAACCAGAGGAGAGAAAGAGAGAGGAAAGGGGGTCTGGGCAGGAAGGAATGGAAGGAAAAAAAAAAGAAAAAGGATCGGTCGGGGTGAGAGTCTGTTCAATTTTAAGAGAGAGAAAATTAAAATGTACACATAAATTAAAGTGGGGTCCATTTTTTAACACATAAAATACACGTTAATAATTTTTTATTATGAAAAAAAATAATCTAGATCCCCAATTTTTATATTCTTCGGTTTCTTTTATCAAAATTTCTCCTATTTCAAGCTCGAAACTCGAAAGTCAAGAGGAGCTTCACTTCACTTCGCACTTTCACAGTGCCGCCACCGCCGTCTCCAAATTTTTTTAAAAAAATAATAATAAAAATAAAAATAAAAAACCATGTCGATTCTCTTCCGCCGATACGCCGGGAAACTTCGCCGGAATCCGATTATCAACTTCCGACATTCCGACCGGCCCAAAATCGGTCTCCTCCACACCTTCGCCGCAGCCTCGCAAGTCGGAGCCACCACCGGCCTCTACGGATACCATCACTTGAAAACCCCCAGAGGCTTTCAGCGGTTCGCCGACGACGCCATCGAAAGGTATTAAGAGACATAATCCAAAGTTGGTCACTTTCGAGTTCACACGAACACAGTCCATCATTAATCATTGCTCTTCTTTTTGAAGGTCTGGAGAGCTCGTTACGTACATTTCTAGCACGCCTTCGTCGGCGGAGGTTATCAGAGCCATGGATGAGATTTCCAACACTGTATGATCAAAGTTCTGACTTCAATTTCTCAGTCCTCACTTTGTTCGAGATTGTTTTGTTTGATTTTGTTTCGTCTGATTTTATAGGTCTGTTCCGTTATGGACGCTGCGGAGTTGTGTAGAAACACTCATCCGGACAGGTTTTTCTTTCGATTTCTTTCAATTTTTGATTTATGTGAATATTATTAATTTATTATTATTTTTTTTTTGTTGAGTACAATGATTTAACGTTTTCTGCGCAGGGAATTCGTTGATGAGGCAAACAAGACGTGGATGAGACTTCATGAGTATCTACATGTGAGGTGACCGTATGAAATGCGTTTAGCTTTGGCTTGTTCTAGTCCTAGATTCTGACTAGTTTCTGTTATTGTATTGATGGATGATTTAAGGAGAAATTGTCTGTTCTCATTGTAATAATCCCAATGAGTTTTGGAATGCGTCAAACAAATGAACAAATTACCAGTTATTGTCGAGCGAGTTGACAATAAACTCACCGTGATAAGATCCTTTTACTCGGCAGGGAAAACTTACTTTGCATAGCGGGAAATACTTGAGAATTAAGTTGAGTAAAACTAATATGTGATGATTAGATGCACAAGTATTAGTTTGGAACATTTATATGTTGATATTAATGTGGTATTGTCAATGTGATAGATTTAAATGTTCTTTGTTGAGTACTTAGTTTTATGACATGTTTATTCAGTATCTCAACACAAATCATACCCTGTATGATGCGGTGAAAAAGGTGGAGCGAGAACGTCATCTGCTCACTGAGGAAGCTCATAGAGCAGCATGTTTCCTGCGTGCCGACTTTGAAAGGGGTGGAATTCATCTTTGTGTTGGTATAGGTTCTGCTATTATTGTTGTTGTTGTTGTTATTTGGGTTCGCATTGCTGTTGAAGAGTTGATCTAATATCAGGAAAATACAATCTGACCTTCACTTTGCAGAGAAACTAGATCGAGTGAATCAACTAAATATAGAAATTTCTCAGCTCTGTGGAGAGTAAGTATACCAGTGTAACCAGTCCTCGTATATTCTTGTTGATGCTTATTCTTCATATTCTTGTTGATGGTTATTCTTCTTCTTCTCCACTATTATGCTTTGTGTCAAAGATAAGTAGGAGCAATAATTTTCACAAAGCAAAATAAGGGAACTAAGGCCCCGTTCCTTTCGCTCGTTTGAGTTGAAAACTTGAGTTAAAAAGTGAATTTATGTGAGAGAAAGCACTATAGCAGAAAAAGTTGAATTTGAATTTTTGCGAGAGAAAATACTATAGCAAAAACTTGACTTATAATTCGAACTAGCGAAACGAACGGGACGTAAATAAATTATGCATTCCTTATGTAAATAAATCAAACAAAAAGTATATAATCTATAGACGGAAGGATGAATTCAATCATACATATTGCTTTTGAGGTTGTACAATGCTCGGCAGGTGGTGTTCTATTTGTTTCAGATTAACGTGATTATTCCATGTATGCAATTTCTAGTTTTGCAATTGAAGCTTTGACCTACTCCGACCCCGCTTTACAACATAATCCATTGGTTCATTGCTTGTTTTGACTGTTTATGAAAGATTTAATTTAACCTTGTCACTGTTTTATTTTGCGCCTGTATGTATTTGGGAAGAGTGATGGGCGCTTTTATTTAAGGTGTCTTTTTCTTAACGCATAGAACTGTAGGTTTTTTTATTATTATTTTTTAAAGATCTTTCTAAATATGGTTCAGGTTCAATGAAAATATCGTCATTGACCCAGGTTATGTGGATATATTTCCATCATCACGAATTCCAAGAAATCTGCACCGTCTAGTTAGGCCCATTTATCGTTCAACACCTGCAACTTCAAGTGATTTCTTATATCCTGGAAATACCGTGAAAGAAATCGGATTTCGGATAACAACAGATCCACCTACTCTATCTTCAATTTTGCAATTGACACCTGATGAGGAGGTAGTTTTATCATATTCTTCATATATTTTTGACATTATTGTTATTTGCGTCTGGTATTAATGGTAACAAGTTTTCGTAGGTGCCAAGTAGGGTTTCGAATTCATTCTTTAGATGTGGTATATTGGTTTTTAACTATTCCTACACTTGTCTAGGTTAGGAAAATGGCGTATGTTCAAGGATATTCTTCCCCTCAAGCAAACCTTGGTATTCTTAATAAGCTTATAGGTGCCCGCCATGAGCTAGCTCAGGTAATCTATCATCATATACAGTACCTAGTGATTATGTATCAGATTGTGCAATTTGATTCAATGTCCTAAACTTATACGCAGCTAAGGTTATGCGCATAATTAAAAGTTATGTAAGTCACAGGATTTGATGTGGCTTGATGAAAGTTTTGTGTATTCAGTTCTAACTTAATGGTATGTTCATATTTATTCTTACTGGTGGGTGCAGATATTGGGCTATAGGAGCTATGCTGAATTCGTGTTGAAGAATAGCATGGCTTCATCCCCATCAGTTGTGATGTCATTTTTGCAAGAGATGAGCAAGATGGTACGATCCAGCGCTGATGAGGTATAATTATTGTTTCATGTCTTTTGGGACTTAGATATGTTGCAGTTTCATACCTCAAGAAGTAATCCTTTTTTTTTTTTTTCCTTTTTAAATGCAGGAGTTAAAAAAGATTAAGGATTTTAAGAGAAACAAATGTCTTCTAAGTTTAGAACCTTGGGATGAGACATACTATACAGCGATCATGAAGTCTTCTGCCTATAACTTTGACTCTTCGGTATAATGCATATTACATTTTCTTTGTCGACCATTGAATTCAGCGGATCTTCTCTGTCCCTTTTTGGTTCTTTTGTGTAAAACTTTTTGTGATTCAATTCTTTATTTACTCTCTTATGTTAGGTACTAGCATGAATTTCCTTGGAATGTTTTTCTGCTTGTGAAAGTAGGATTGTTTTGACTTTCTGTAGTGCAGGTTGTAGCATCATATTTTCCGTTGCCACAATGCATTGAGGGTTTGAAAGTGCTGGTGGAGTCATTATTTGGTGCAACATTTTGTAGTGTCCCCCTAGCACCTGGTGAATCATGGCACCCAGACGTGATTAAGATGTTGCTTCATCATCCTGAAGAGGTTAGATGGATTTTGAAAGATCTATGCACATTGATTTCATAACCCTGTCCATGAGTTAGGATAAGGAGGTAATTAAATATTCAGGAGTAATGTGGTGGAAGTAAAAGTTACATGGCTTCAAGATTGAGATGGTGAAGAAATTGAATGGGATTTTGCCAATGATGAGATTATTAGGATCTAAGATGAACTAAAACCTGTGATGGGTTGAAATTGATTAGTTCTCGGTAAACCATCAAGGACTTGGGCTTTAAGCTTTCTGGAATAAGAATCTCACATCACATTTCACCCTTTTTTCATCAACTCTTACTCCAGTTATCTTGCTATCTACAAGAATATTCATCTAATACCATACTTGTGTTTCAGGGAGACCTGGGGTATCTGTATCTTGATTTGCAATCCAGGAAGGGCAAGTATCCAGGTTGCGCTCATTTTTCACTCAAAGGTGGTCGCCAAGTTTCTGAGACAGATTACCAACTTCCTGTACGTAAATTGGGTTTATAGGATCTACTAAGTTATCTTAACTGATATAATCATTCTTCATAGCTGCGTAGGAAGTATTGTGTAAAATAAAGGACAACTGTGTTTTGAAAGTAAAACAACTGTCAATCAGTGCTAGGTCTTTAGAGGAATTTAGTGGGAGGAAATGCTCCATTAAAGCCATCCTATGGGCATGATGAGCATTATTAATGACTGTACTGTCATATCATTTGATTATTTGGAGAAAATATAGAACTTGATATGGATCTATATGATTCATCTAATTCTTCCTTTCAACTAAGCTTGTTTAACGTTTGTTATTAAAAAGCTAGCATTTGTTTGAGGGAGTCTCGTGTGAAAACTGGGTACGGTTGGACAACGTTCTTAATACCACATTTATAAACATTAATGATTGTTCCAGTTAGGATTAATTTGTTTGGATTTTAACTATGATTATGGTGGTGAAACAGGTTGTAGCTCTTGTTTGCAACTTTTCTGGTTCTCATGATCAATTAAACGTGAGACTAAAGCCTTGGGAACTAGAAACACTTTTCCACGAGTTTGGACATGCACTTCATTCGTTGCTTTCAAGAACGGTATTCAGTAAATCAATAAAATAGCCTGTTATCGGAGCAACATGGTATATCATCTTTCTTTCCTCACCAAAATACATCGTTGTTTTCTCCCTGTAGGATTACCAACAGTTTTCCGGTACCAGGGTGGCTTTGGATTTAGCAGAAACACCTTCAAACCTATTTGAGTGAGTAGTGTGCTGTGATCATTGTTTCTTTTGGTTTTATTTCCTGAAGATTATATTAGAAATTAGAATTTCATGGAAACAATTAGTTAGTGAATCAGTGGCATGCATAACTTGTTTTCGGAAAGCATGCTTGTCCACTTTTGTATTTTGATAAAAATTATTGGTTCTCTTGAATGATAAAAATGCCAGTAAACTAAGAGGAGCTAGCATTCAGTGACTACTTTATTCTCACACTCATTTGATGTGGTGATATTACTTTGAGTGACAAAAGCTCTGTGATAAAAGCTGAGGTTGTCGTTTCTTTTCCCAGAGTGTTTAGTGCAAGACAATCCTTACCTCAGGTACTTATAGGAGCAAAAGCATTGGAAGTTATACATAAATACTTAGAAGTAATGCATTAGGAACAAAAAAAATTTCTATGTCAAAAATATGTCACAAATTTCTATGCATTCTAACATGAGGAACACAATTTCTTTGAACGTGAAAGTCACAGTAAGATCCATTTATTATGTCTTGGACAAGACCATGCCTATCACATGTCAGGCATTTATCATTTCGGTGTTGGTGTTGGCAAGATGTGCTTCACACTTATCAACATGCATACTATTCTGGACACAATTATTCTTTGATGTATTCTTTAGGGCTAATTTAAACAATGGCCTTTGAGAATATGCATTTATCTCACTTTGGTTCCTGGCATTCACCTTTAAATATAGTTTTGGCCCTTCTGTTAATATACTGTTTGTTTTCATACAAAATGTGGCACGGAGATGGCTTGTTAGGGTTTTAAGAAGGATAAAATGGTTAAAAGAACAAGCACATCTAAAAAAATTATTTAAAAAGGAAAAAAGAAGAAGAAGAAGAAAAAGACTGAGGCGACAAACTGATTTTTTTTTTTTAATGTCTCAACTGATTTTTTCTTTTTAGATTTATTTATTACAAGTATTATTATTATTATTTTCCGAATCTGCTTGTCCTTAAACCATTTTGTCTCTCTAAAAGTGACTGTTGGGGGTCAAAGTGAGACATGTTCATATCCTCAGAAGCCATTAGTGTAAATAACCCATTTGTTTATCGGTTTTACCCATCTTCATGATTTGTGGCCCTACTGGTAGTCAGCTTCGTATTAATTTTTGTGACATGCCAAGGTACTATGCATGCGATTATCGAGTTTTGAAGACATTTGCTAGACACTACTCAACTGGTGAAGTAATCCCGCAAAAGTTGGTTGATTCACTAGAAGGTGCAAGAAATATGTTCTCCGCAACTGAATTGCAACGTCAGGTAGCTCAAAGCCCGAGTTAAAAAAAAAGGTCCCCAAGTTAATCAAGTTATAGCTCTAGGCAACCTTCGATGAAGAGAGAGAGTGAATTGAAAAAAAAATAATAATAATAATAATAAAAAGAAAAGGAGGAGAATACTGACCAATCTTTCTTTTGCTTGTTCTGTTCATCAGATCTTTTATGCCATGATCGACCAAACAATTTTTGGGGAGCAGCCAAGTCCACCAAGAGATACAAGTTCTATAGTTGCAGATTTAAAAACACAATATACTAGTTGGAGACACGTAGAGGGTACACATTGGCATGTCCGCTTCAGCCACCTCCTTAATTATGGTGCAGGTACATATTTAATCTTTTCTAACATTGCTGAGAAAATCCAAAAGTTGATGTAGTTCTCTGGTGATAAATCCACTTCGAGATGTAGAATTTAAATGCCCCAACCCCCTCGTGAAAATTAACATGATGCCAATCCACCGATTAGGTGGTTCTGACGTACAGTATTGATTTAATTAAGTTTGTTTCTTAATTGGTGGACTAATGAATTCACTTGTGTAGGTTATTATGGCTACTTGTATTCCAAGTGCTTTGCAGCGAGCATATGGCAGAAAGTGTGCAAGGAAGATCCATTATCATTAAGCACAGGAGAAGCTCTGAGAACAAAATTTCTGCAGCATGGGGGAGCCAGAGAACCAGCTGATTTGTTGAAAGGCCTAGTTGGAGATGGCGTTCTAAGATATTGCGACGGTGGGATAGTTCCCGATATTACTAGTCTTTGTGATGAAATGAAGCTGAATTGATTACCTCACAATACAAGTTGGCTCCTTCTGTCCTCATTGAGGCTTCAGATGATTGATCAGTATCAACTCTTCATGGAATCAAAAGGGGAAACTCGAAGAACATTTGGAAGAAAATTGGGAAAAATCCTAGAAACCGGCTCGGAATTTGCGATTTCTTTTAAAGAAGACGCAGTGTGGCATTGGGTTCAGCCGAAAAGGAATAAAAAGTGCATCGGATGAATGAGGAAATTTTTTTGAGATTGGATGCTGCTGCATCTACATTATTCTTTCAAAGCTCTTAATAAGTTCTTCTTTCCTTTTTTTTTTTTTTGGTCTTTTGTTATCTTAATCATGTTTCAGCGTAATCTATTTTTCTATTTAAGTGATTGTATTCTTTTTCTATTATTATAGCATTCTTATCATTCTCACCTATTCTTTATAAGATTTTAATACTTATTTCTTCCTTTCTAGTTGTTTTTAGTGCTATTTGCTACAATAAAGATAACAGTTCCCAGGAAAAAGAATTGTTTCAACTTTCAACTGTCTTTAGTTTACGAAAAATGACGGTTTTTTCTCCTCTTTTTTATTTTTTATTTATTAACGTTAAAACGATGGCGTGGATGAGAATCGAGTAATTATATGCCTTTTTGCCCTGTAAAAGGCACATCCTCTCCGACACGTCGTTTTACTCATGACGTTTTACTCAATATACGTGTTGTCAACGATATGTCGTTACTTGAGCAAAGCACAAAAAATAGCGTGTAATACTGGGAAACGTAAAACGTTTGTTTAGAAAAGAAAAGAAAAGAGTAAACATTACACCGAAATAAATATAACCAGCTAACAGGTAGGCATTATCAAATGATTGATCTTATGATCTTAATTTTGTGTCTTCAAAGAGATGCAGATATTGGGTATTTCATTTCCTGGTAATAAGAGATTGATTAGGACAAAAACTATGATATCACGGTTTAACTGATTAATATAAACTACAAGGTCGTATTTATATGCATACCTTAATTATTAGAACCTTCTCTTCGAAATCTCTCAGGAGATAATAAAGAGTAAGTGAGAGATTCTAAAGAGAGTTTTATTTTTTTCTATTTTTTATTATTTTTTTAACTGGCACTGTCACGGGATATTTATTTTGATGCATTTCCATTCTCTAGCAAGTGCAGGATTTATTTCCATGATTCCATCAGTCTGTTTCAGTTTTTGTGGTGCCCAAGATCTCCATCTTTTCTGAGCCCTGAGAAAGAAAAAGAGATTGCAAAGAACTTGAACAAGTACAGCAATAAATACGAGGCTGAGGATCGGGATATGTCAACGTTATTCAGCGAGCAGGAGCGGGGAGAAGCGGAGGATGGTGGAAGCGGTTGCATGAAGAGAAATTCGCTCATTAGGAACTTAGCGATGGAGAAGACAGTGATGGCGGAGAAGAGTACGAGACCGTTGAAGTGGAAGAGCTTCTGGACTCCCGCACGGAAAAGCTCTCAGGAACAGTCACATTTAATTTTTTTACTACAGTAAAAAATTCTCACATAAAATCATATCTCAACTTGAATTAAAAACTCGAATCAGTGAACTAAACGGACCCTAAGTTTTCAATATCCTTTGAGCTTTCAAAGGAAATACCGCGACGTCCTAATAGCAAATACAAGACCTTGCCGCACGCCAAATCCTTTCGTATTGCTAGGAATTTCAGACCAGCATTTCTTCGCGTTTTTGTTTCCTTATCTTGCAATAGTTAAGTTCTTATTGTGTCTTGATTCTAATTTTATATATTGTTATTCGATACAATAGGCTTCGACCTCTTTTGCTGAGTAATGCACACAATGTGGACTTATTTCCTATTTTAGTACTAAGGAAAAATAACTATTTGGCTGAGTATTCTAACACCCAAAGACGGGAACTCTTAGAAAAAATTATAGATACATAACAAAAGGTTTTTCTCTGGCTTTGTGGACGAGAAGTATTAAATTTGAAGCTTTGACAAGTGTAAGTAGATATCTTAAATCTCAAATATATATATATATAAAGGGAAAAGGTGGCTAGTATAAGTCAGTCGCAAGCATTTGGGAGTAGAACATACAATTACCAAACGATGTGTCTGATCTTTTATAAAACACAGAATAGTATCACAAGTCTTGGAAGGTACAAATTTTCAGAACCGCCAATCATTTGTATATTTTTTCGCCATCACATTCAAAAGATTAGGTTTTAGCGTCTCAAAGCTCTTGAATATATGACTGCGAGTACTGCTTTTTTAGTCTTTAACATCACAGCAAGGTAAAATCTAACAAATAAAAGTATTACACAGACGTGAGACGTCTTGTAGAATCACCTTGATGGTTCTTCATCTATGAAGCTTTTGTAGATATGCATTTTCCCTTGACTGAAACCAGACTGTTCACGTGGGTTCCCGGGTAGGTTAATCCATTCTGTCTCAGTCCACGAATGTCAAGGTCTCTAAAACTCTTTCTTATGAATGTTGTAGGAGACCAACTTTTCTTTACCTACATCTTTCATAAGGAGCTCATCACTCTTCCAAAATGTCATCGGAGCAAGCATTTCACTTAAGTTTTCTAACGTGAGATATTTGATCCACGAATTAGAACCTTTTCCGCCATTGTCATTGCTGTTATTCATCACCCATATATTAATGGATCTTAGATTACTCGTCCTTTCCTGACAAGGGCGATTATCATGCAATAAAGCAATTGAGTCATTCCACTCCATAAGACAACACCTCCGATGTGATTCTACAGATGGAATATCATTTGGAAGCTTTATGCAATAAAACATCTTCTCACACATGTCAAAACAAAGTATCATACCTTCAAGCATCCAATAACACACTCCCTTGTGGTATGCATAACTTCCCAGTCGTAGTCGCAGTAATAAATAACCATGTATAGGCATCTTAGTAGACGTTTAATTTACGGATTCAGAACTATAATTCAAAATTATTTTTAATTTGTATATTTTTTGTAAGAAATACACTCTAGCAAACCACAAACCATTATTCGAATCATGTTACGAATCCTCATATCAAACAGAGCATTAATCTTTCTCCATGTATGAGTACCAAGAGTGGCTAGCTCAACTCCATAATGAGTAGAAGTTTCAAAAATCCTAACAATCTTGTGATCATCGGTTGCTGAATCATAGCCAAACCCCAATGCTTTCCTCACACGATACCCATCAACCTCAGGTGATTTCACGAGCAGACACTCGCGCAACACCGGATTGCACAACATTGTGTCGTCACCAAGACCAACAAGGCAAATTATGCCATTACAGCTATAATACTCACAAAAGCCAAACTCCGCATCACCCGGAAAAACTGGTAAGTGAAAGAATCTAGCGCCAAAATGTATGGGCTCCTTCTCACCGTCATCATAATCATTTGATGTAGCAAGGAATGAGGACAAGTTTTCGTAGAAAGAAAAGTCGGATAGATGGAAAATGTGGCAAGTTCTAGTGGATAAGACTTTGTTGGTGCTGTGAAGGTGCTTAGTCACAAATTCTGGATCTTTGATAAGACCGTTGATAAGGGAATACGAAGACTTAGTGCCCGTTTAGTTCGCTGATTAAAAATTCGAGTTAAGAGATAAGAGCTTTTTACTGTAGTAAAAAAGTTAGATGTGACTATTTCTGAGAGTTTTTTTACTGTAGTAAAACTCGAATTTTAAATTCGAATCGGTGAAATGAATGGGGCCTTACCCATGCACTTGAATCGCATCAAAGACTCGGGAAGCAGCCATAACATGATTTGTGCCGCAATCTCTTCCAGTAGATGGCAAGAGAACCTCTCCATGTCTGCTTTTAGGGGTGTAAGAATTGAACCCGAACCCGACAAACCTGCCCGACCCTACCCGAGTCTACCCGAAAATGTTGGGTTAATTTTTTTTTTAAAATTTTCGGATTATAATAGGCCCAACCCGCAATTTGCGGGTTTTTTTTTAAATTTTCGGATTATAATAGGCCCAACCCGCAATTTACGGGTTGGGCCGCGGGTGGGGCAACTGCTCACCCGAGTTGCCCCGACCCGGCCGTTTAATTACTAATGAGAGACAGAGTAATGTGTTGTTGTGTGACACTGTGACTTGTGTCGTTTGTCTTTGTCGTGTGAGTGAGAGTCAGAACTCAGAGTAACCCTAAATTCCTAATCCCCCAGATTCTTTCACTCTTCAGTGTCATTTTTCCTTCCTCCCACCCACCCAGTCGCCACTCGCCGCCGCCAGTCCCAGCCTCCCAGTCGCCACTCGCCGCCGCCAGTCCTAGCCTCCCAGTCGCGAGTCGCCACCGCCAGACCCAGCCTCCCAGTCGCCACTTGCCGCCGCCAGTCCCAGCCTCCCAGTCGCTACTCGCCGCCGCCAGTCCCAGCCTTCGCAATCACACGCAAGTCACCGCCGCCAGTCACCGTAAGTGTTTTTTTTGCTTGATTGGTGTGTGTTATCAACTTATCACATTGTCACCATATGGATTGTCACCGGATTGTCACCGGATTGTCAACTTTTTTGGATTGTCACCGGATTGTCAACATTGATCAATCTACCTGTTTTTTTTGTTTTTTCACCGTATGTGTGTTGGACTCCAAACTTTGTCCACCGGATTGTCAAGCATGAGAAAGAAATAAACTTTGTTGTGTTATCACCGGTTTGGAATTCCAACATTTCAGTCGTCCATGAGAAAGAGGGTTTAGTTTTGTTGTCATTTTTAGCATGAGAAAGAAGGTTTTCAGTTTTGTTGTCCAACATTTCAACGTTTAGTTTTGCTGTCGTTTTTTGGTTCCGGTTTAGTTTTGTTGTCATTTCAGTCGTCCACGAATCCACCTCTTGATGGATTGGCTGCATGTTGAATTTTTCCTGCCTGAATTGATGCCTAAATTAATGCTGATTATGTCTTGAAATCCAATAAATCTTAGAGTTTTCTGTTTTTGATTGCCTGGTTTTGTTTCTGCTTGTTTGTGTCTGGCTCTGCTCGTGACTCGTGAGGGGATCTTTTTGTTTCTGCTTGTTTGTTTCCAGCCGAGGAAGATTGAAGAAGAGTGAAGACTTTGAAAAATTTGGTTTCTGGTTTGGAATGCAGGAAGAGGAGAAAGCAATTGAAAACAGAAAGGTTAGAGAATGGTTTGGAATTCATGTGTTGCTTGCTTTCTTCAATGTTGAAATATAGTTTAAGTTGCTTTCCCACGAACAATGCAACATATATATATATATATGAAGACTTTGAAGATTTTGGTTTCTGGTTTGGAATTCAGGAAGAAGAGAAAGCAATTGAAAACAGAAAGGTTAGAGAACGGTTTGGAATTCATGTGTTGCTTGCTTTCTTCAATGTTGAAATATAGTTTAAGTTGCTTTCTCGCGAACAATGCAACATATATATATATATATGTAATATGCACAAACAATCTGTTAGGAACAAGTTTAGAAGGAGACTAGTTGATATGTGATATGTTTGCTTTTATATGTGATATGTTGGCTTTTCACTAGACGTTGAAAATGTGATATGTTATCTATTTTTTAGGTTACTTGCGTGCTAGATGGAAAAATTTATCATCAAAACTTCCGAAAGTACTTGCAAGTCCTCTGCTGAAACAGAAAGTGTCTCTACGCCTACAGAGCCTATTACCTTATCCACTCTCACACCCAGCCCTACCCCTATACCTAATTTGAGCACTAAAATTAGAAACGAAAAAGAGGAGGGAGACAGTAAGAAGAGGAAGAATTCACAAAAAAAGTCTCCTGTTTGGGATCATTTCAAAATCATAGAGGGTGGGGATCCAAATGAGCCTAGGTGTA